CGCGGACAGGCGAGTGGAGGGAGGGGGGCCGTGGTCGACGAGGGGAGGCGGGGAAGCGTCTCGGAGGTGTCTCGGAGGTGTCTCGGGAGTGTCTCGGGAAGTGTATCGGAAGTGTCTCGGGAGTGCGTTGCGGACCCGTCGCCGCCTCCCAGCTGCGTCGCTTCGCCGGCAGGGCCCTCCGGCGCGGGCGGCAAGCCCCCAGGCAGGCTGGCCGGCTCTCCACCCCCCTCTCCCGCCCCCTCCTCCTCCGCCCCCTCCTCCTCGCCGTAGTCCGGAGTCGGGTCGCCGACGGCGACGGTGCCGCCCGGCCGCGCCTCGTGGGCCACGTGGGCCTCGTGGGCCTCGTGGGCCTCGTGGGCCTGAGCTCGGGCGGCGGGCAAGGGGCGGGCTGGCGGCGGGCAAGGGGCGGGCTGGCGGCGGGCAAGGGGCGGGCTGGGGGCGGGCAAGGGGCGGGCTGGGGGCGGGCAAGGGGCGGGCTGGCGGCGGGAGGAGGAAAGAGGGGAGCGGGGCGAGCGGTCGGAGGAGAGGGTGGCGGAACAGGCGCAAGGGGAAACGGAGGGGCTGTATGGGCGGAGAGGGGAGGGGAGGGGGGAGGGGGCTGCGAGGGAGCGATGAGAAGGCGCTCAGCGCGGCGCACGGTCGCCTCCTCCGCCTCCGCCGCCGCCTCCGCCGCCGCCGCCTCTGCCTCCTCCTCCTCCTCCTCCTCCGCCTCCATGTCGACGATGGTTGCCTCGTAGTCTGCCTCTCCCAGCTGCGTCGCCTGCCCATGCGGAGGGGAGGAGCGTCTCTACACGCGGGCGTGGGCCAAGTGGTGGGGCTGCCCCCTCGCATCTCCACCTCCTCTGGAGACTGGCGGCCTTAAAGACGGGCAGCAGCAGCCCCCCACGGCAGACAGAGGGCGGTCTAGGCTCAATCCCCGCTCACTCCCGGCGAGATCTCGCCTCGGGGTCCGCGCGCCGCCCGCCGCCCGCCGCCGCGGCCGCCACCGGAGAAGCGCCCGACCGCTCCTCCTCGTCGCGCTCCTCCTCCTCCGCCCCCTCCGCGCACGGCTCGGCTCCAATCTGCGTCGCGTCGTCCATCCCCGCCTCCGCCTCCTCCGCCGCCTCTTCTCCCGCCTCCGCCGCCTCCGCCGCCCCTTCTCCCGCCTCCGCCGCCCCCGCCGCCGGCAAGACTGCCTGCGTCGGAGCGTCGAGCTCCGGCGCCACAGCCGCCGCCGCTGCGCCGTCCGCCCCCGCGCCGGCCTCGGCCGGCTGCGAGAGCTGCTCCGAGCAGACAGGCCCGCCGCTCACTTGCTGTGTGATATCCACTTGCTGGGTGAAGGCCTCCTCCGCCTCGGCCGCCTCAGTCGCCGGGGGGCCTCCGCCGCTGCCGCCGCCGCTTCCTGCAGTGCCGGCGGCGGCTTGCGTCGCGGCCGCGTCGCCGGACGCGTCCTCGTTGACCGCCGCCTCCTCCTCCTCCTCCTCGACCACCTGCGGCGCGCGCGCTTGGGCGTGAGTGGCGTGTTGTCGCGGCAGTAGGTACTGCGGCAACACGCGAGGGCGCCTGCGTTGCTGCCGCGTTCACCGCCGGCGCCTCCTCAGCGACGGATGGGGATCCGGGGCCGACGATGCGAATACGGACGTTTCCGATCAGCAAGCTCTGGCCGAAACGGACCCGAGTCAGCGTCTTCGCCAAAATCTTGCGCCCATCCACCTTGACGCCGTTCCGCGCGCTCGCGTCGAGCTGCACAAAGGTGATGTACTCGCCGACGCCGGTGCGCCGCACGACGAGCTCTGCGTGCCGCCGCGAGACGCTTGCCGCATCGAGGGTCACTTCGCAGCTCGCGTCGCGCCCGATCCAGAACCGGTCTTCGGTCCGGCCGGGGTCGACAAACAGAGGGTGGCTCTGCTCTTCGCCGCCGTCGCGCATCTCAACGACCGCCCACTGCTCCGCGTCGCCGTCGTCCTCCTCGGACTCGTCGTCGATGACCTGCGTTGCATCGTTGTACTCCATGCTGCTTGGCCGGTGGACGCGCTTGCCGCCACTCACAGCGTCGAGGGAAAGAGAAAGCAGGGATGCGCTCCTCTCTTCATCATATCTCTTCTCATTCTCAAGACATAGAGAACTAACCCCGAGAAACCCTTCGGGTCACTCCTCATCGCAAACCCTGTCAAGCCGAGTTCATTTAATAAACCCTGTCAAGCAGTCCTCCTCCGGGAATGTACGTAAGAGCCACATTGAAGAAATCGCGACCCCCACTCTAGCCATAACAAAAAGAAATCGCGCAGCGCTCACTATCACTACGCCCGCCGTCATGCCCGCCTCTCGCTCCCGCGCCAACGCCGCGCGCCGCACGCCGACGCCGTCTGCTGACAGCGCGCCGGGTGGTGAAGTCCCAAAGAACGTCCTGAAGGCGGCTGAGGACGGCCGCTTGGGACCAGTGCGATCGTGGCTGAATGTCGGCGGGAAGGCCGACACTCTCGCTGAGCAACCCTCTCAGGTCAGCGGCCGCACGGTT